ACTCAGGGGTCACTCAGGGGTCACTCAGGGGTCACTCATTGGTCACTCTGGGGTCACTCAGTGGTCACCGGGGGGGTCCAGCGGGGGTGGGGGCGGGGCCGGACCCCGCACCCCCCACCCCGAGCTTCGGCACCCGCTATGCAAACCATATGTAAATGAGATGTAAATGAGATGCAAATGAGATGTAAATGAGATGCAAATAAACTCCCGTTGCAGGCGCGGCGCTGGCTCAGCTCGGGGGGGTGGGGGGCTCCTTCCGCACCCCCCGTGACCCCCAAAAACCCCCCAAAGACCCCCCAAAAATTCCCATCAAACCGCCCAAAAATTCCCTAAAAAATCCCCCCAAACATCCCCCCAAAAATTCCCTAAAAATCCCGAAAAATTCGCCAAAAAATTCCTAAAAAATCCCCAAATTCCTCCGAAAAATTCCCTAAAAAAATCCCCCAAAATCCTCCGAAAAATTCCCTAAAAATCCCCAAAAATTCTACGAAAAATTCCCTAAAGATCCCCAAAAATCCCCCCAAAACTTCCCTAAAAATCCCCAAAAATTCTCCAATAAAATCCCTTAAAATTCTCTAAAAATTCTCTGAAAAATTCCCTAAAAATCCCTAAAAATCCACCCAAAATTCCCTAAAAACCCCCAAAAATTCAAGATCCCCCCAAAGACCCCCCCAAAACCCCACACAAAATCCCCCAAAAATTCCCTAAAAGTCACCAAAAATCCCCCCAAAATTTCCTAAAATTCTCCCAAAAATTCCCCAAAAATCCCCACCCCGCCGGCGGCAACGGGGGACCCCGCCGGCGCCGGGGGGCTCCCCACAAGCCCGAGCCCGCCTCCGCGCACGGCGACGGCGCCGACGAGCTCGCCGGGGACTTCAGGTAACGGGGCCCGGCGCGGGAAAGCGGAGCCCGCCCTCAGGGAGGGAGCGGCGGCCGTGAGGGGGCGGCTCGGCCTCAGGGCGGGAGGGGGCACGGGGAGACCCCCGAGCGGTGGGGGACAGGGAGACCTCAGGGTGGGCTTGGGACTCTCAGGGAACCCCCGGAGGTGGGCTTGGGACCCTCAGGGACTCCCCAAGGGTGGGTTTGGGACCCTCAGGGACCCCCTCAGGGACCCTCAGGGATCCCCTCAGGGTGGGAGGGGACACTCAGGAACCCTCCTCAGGTGGGCTTGGGACCCTCAGGGACCCTCCTCAGGGTGGATTTGGGACCCTCAGGGATCCCCTCAGGGTGGGACTGTGTCACCTGTGCCACCTCCTGTGTCAGCCCTGTCCCCTCCTGTGTCACCCCTGTCCTTTCCTGTGTCACCTTTGTCACTTCTTATGTCACCTGTGCCACTCCTGTGTCAGCTCTGTCCTCTTCTGTGCCACCTCTGCCACTCCTGTGTCACTTCTGTCCTCTTTTGTGTCACCTCTGTCCCTTCCTGTGTCACCTGTGCCACTCCTATGTCACCTTTGTCCCCTCCTGTGTCACCCCTGTCCCTTCCTGTGCCACCTTTGTCCCCTCCTGTGTCACCGCTGTCACCTCCTGTGCCACCTGTGCCACTCCTGGGTCACCTCTGTCCCCTTCTGTGTCACCTCTGTCCCCTCCCATGCCACCTGTGCCACTCCTGTGTCACCTCTGTCACCTCCTGTGCCACCTGTGCCACTCCTGGGTCACCTCTGTCCCCTTCTGTGTCACCTCTGTCCCCTCCCGTGCCACCTGTGCCACTCCTGTGTCCCCTCTGTCCCTCCTGTGTCCCCTCCTGTGCCACCTTTGTCACTCCTGTGTCACCTGTGTCAGTCCTGTGTCACTTCTGTCCCCTCCTGTGTCACCTGTGCCACTCCTGTGTCACCGCTGTCACCCCCCCGGGGTGTCCCCAAGCCTTGGGGTCCCCTCTGGGTGTCCCCAGGGGGGTTCTGTCCCTGTGTGTCCCCTCCTGTGTCACCTCTGTCCCTTCCTGTGCCACCTTTGTCCCCTCCTGTGTCACCTCTGCCACTCCTGTGTCACCCCTGTCCCTTCCTGTGTCACCTGTGCCACTCCTGTGTCACCTCTGTCCCCTCCTGTGTCACCTCTGTCCCTTCCTATGTCACCTGTGCCACTCCTGTGTCACCCGTGTCCCTTCCTGTGTCACCTCTGTCACTTTTGCGTCACCTCTGCCATTCCTGTGTCCCCTCCTGTGTGTCCCCTCCTCTGTCCCCCCCCGGGGATGTCCCCAAGCCTTGGGGGCCTCTTGGGAGGGTTTGGGGTGTCCTGGGGGGGCTGTCCCCCTCTGTCCCCCCTGTCCCCAGTGTGTCCCCTGGTGTCCCCCCTGTCCTGAGTGTGTCCCCAGTGTGTCCCCAGCATGTCCCCACTGTCCCGGTGTCCCCCCATTGTCCCCTGGTGTCCCCTGTGTCCCATGTCCCCCCTGTCCCCCTGTGTCCCCACTGTCCCGGTGTCCCCAGGTGCCACAAGGTGTCCCAGCGTGTCCCCATGTGTCCCCATGTCCCCCCTCGTTGTCCCCATGTGTCCCCATGTCCCCCCTCGTTGTCCCCATGTGTCCCTATGTCCCCAGGTGCCACAAGGTGTCCCCATGTCCCCCCTGTGTCCCCCTGGTGTCCCCACATGTCTCCCATTGTCCCCCCATGTCCCCGCTGTCCCCTGTCCCTAGGTGCCACAAGGTGTCCCAGTGTGTCCCCACATGTCCCCTCATGTCCCCCCATGTCCCCACATGTCCCCATTGTCCCCATGTCCCCAGGTGCCACAAGGTGTCCCTGTTGTCCCAGTGTGTCCCCACATGTCCCCATTGTCCCCATGTCCCCAGGTGCCACAAGGTGTCCCTGGTGTCACTTGTGTCCCCACATGTCCCCACATGTCCCCCCATGTCCCCACATGTCCCCATTGTCCCCATGTCCCCAGGTGCCACAAGGTGTCCCTGTTGTCCCAGTGTGTCCCCCCTGTCCCCATTGTCCCCCCCGTGTCCCCATTGTCCCCACGTGTCCCCCGTGTCCCCAGGTGCCACAAGGTGTCCCTGGTGTCCCCATGTCCCCTCACTGTCCCCTGTCCCCAGGTGCCACAAGGTGTCCCCGGTGTCCCCATTGTCCCCTCACTGTCCCCCCGGTGTCCCCAGGTGCCACAAGGTGTCCCCGGTGTCCCCCCATGTCCCCTCACTGTCCCCCCCCCGGTGTCCCCAGGTGCCACAAGGTGTCCCCGGTGTCCCCATGTCCCCTCACTGTCCCCTGTCCCCAGGTGCCACAGGGTGCAGGAGTC